ACTCCTGTCCCCGTGGACCAAAAGCGTTCAAATTTGGTAGGAGTACAGGCGGCAGGATGGGAACACTTTTAGTGGGTGGCAGGACTACCCGAAGGGGCGGGGTTTGTGAGAAAAAAATGTTTGAGCGAAAATTTAGAACTCATGTCCCCGTGATCCTAGAGCACTCAAACTCGGTAAGAGTACGGGCGGCAGGATAGGAGCGCTAATGGTGGGTGGTAGGACCAGACCCCGCCCACGATAGGCGGAGTTTGATCGAAAGTTCATAACTTCTGTTCCCGTGGACCGTAAGAGTTATGGGAACAGGGTGGGAACACTCACTGTAGGTAGCAGGACCACACCCGCCCATAGGGGGCGGGGATTGCGCGAAAATTGCCAATTTGGCCCTAAGGCGTTCAAGCTTGGTAGGAGTGCAGGCGACAGGATGGGAACACTTAGCATAGGTGGCAGGAAAGGACCTTGCTCACAGGGGCGGGGCTTGCGCGAAAATTGATAATTTGGCCCTAGAGTGTTAAAAGTATTCCAATTGCACGAAAATTTCACGGCGGTACGCTTCCTTGGCCCATCTTTCCTTTTTTCTCTGAATAATCGCCTTTGTGATATTATACGATGTTGTTACCGGACACAGCGAAGATGGCTTACGGAAAAAATCGCTTCCAATTCGGAGCTAATACTGAGGATGTAGTTTATTTACGCATAGAAAATTTCGGGCGTCACCATAAGAAGGAGGGAAGCCGGAGTTGGCCGGGCGGCCCGACTGGTCAACTATAAGCCTCTTAATCTTACAGATGGGGGAAACTACACCGATTCAAGCCTTACGGTATTGACAAAGCTCAACGGGCCAGCAAGCAAGCAAGACAACAATAACAAGGCGTCCTCACGCTGACACAACTCATTAATGATCATATTTATGATTTATCAGTCGAAAGAATAAAGGCATATGTGTTCCCAGTGTTACTTATTGTTGCTAATCTGTCAAGTTCCACCTACTGTGGCAACGATATACAAGACTGTGTTGGAGAAGTGTTCAAACAGCTGTTTAACCCCCGCCATCCACATTTTGTCTTCACAGGGAGTTAACAGCTATTCTGACCAAGCAACTCCAATATCCAAAAATACCAGCTAGTCACTCCTGTGGCACCCTCGAGCCAGCTCCTTAGGTTCGTAATTAGATTGAAGAGGTTGAGTTCGATTGTGTACACCCGCCTCTGTAGGGCTGCGGCCTCGTACTGGGCTATCTTCGAGACACTGGCATGGTCAACTTTGGTCGATTGCTGCTCTCCGAATTACATGCACAACAAAATGGCGGAATATTTAAACAGACCTTGAACAGTTTCCACTCCAACTGACCGCTTGCAGTCACTATTTATCCATGCTTTTTGAACGCCATACATATAGCTTACGTGTACGCTACATAGTATTAGGTTGGAAGAAAAGTCCTGCGACAAAAAATTGGAAGCGTCAACAATTTGTATCAACAGTGTGAACACGGTAGCAAGAAAGATAAACTTGTAGGATATTTCTCAAGTAATCAACACATGAGTAAATAGGGGCACGGGTGTGGGCTTTAGCAGCATTGCGGTCAATAAATGGACAACACCCGATTCGTACCATCACCTTCTTCTAAGCACGCCAAGGGAAAAACGCGGGTGTAGCAGCTCAAATTATCAGCAACCTAATCAATGTTGGCACTGCTCACCGATCAACGGTCAACAATCGGTTGGATCGCTTCACTGGAGGAGATACTAGCTTTTGAAGTAACACAAGCATCGTCCCTTAATTTGAAGGAGGTTGAAGGGATCCATCCACTATGAGTTGCTCAACGCAGACTAGATGGACACAGCTATCGGTTACCCCTATTAACCCCGAAATTTGGCGAGCGGGATTAGAGAAGGACGATCAAAACCGTAAATCAGGTCCCTACAGAGAGACAACGCACGTCGAAATTTCGCTTTAAACAAGCGTCAAAAGTTCTACGATTCCAACTGGTCCCAGGTTGTTCATCAGTCGTACTCTCCAAGTGTTGTCCCTTTTACCTACGATGCGCTCCGCCTTCTTGAGCATCCCGTTGTTGAAAAAAAATCGTAACTTAACGTGATATGAAAACGGCAGTCAATTACTTCTTTGAGTCACAGCTTCCTCACTCCTGGATAAAAGGCATCAGTGATTTACTCAATGGATAATAGAAGGTTGTTGACCTCTTTGGTAAATATATTTCCAAAAATTGAATGGCCTGGAAAATTTCAGAAATGATTTGAAGAAGACCTTCATTGTGTCGCAGGACTTTCCTCCCAACCTAATATATAATTATATATAATATTTGCGCACTTGTGTCATTGGCGCGCGGTCGGTCCTAATTTGCTCTGCCGAGTTGAGAAGCGATTCGGATTTCCTGTGTTTTATGCTACGCATGCTTCGTCTATCGCTGTATGCTATCGCGTCTGTTATTCTGATTGACCTTACTTCAACTGGGGTATCACCTCAGCTTCAATTGCTGTTTATTCTCAATCTTCGCCCACTACTTGGCGACGTGATTTCCTATTTTTTGTGAAGTCGAAATCCCTTGTGGCGGGGATTGCTTTTGTGTCTTTGGTTATATTGAGCCACATAAACAGGTGTATTTTTTCCAATTCTGGATTCCTTCTTGGTATTATTTTTTCGACTCTGATTGCTGTGATTGGACTTGCTCCCAAATCGACAGCAGATCAAAATCGATTCGTTATCAATCGTGGATACACCCCTTAGGTCTACGTCTGTTCCAGCCTCCAAGCGAAGATGTGTTGATGTGGTATCGGTATCGCCCGTTAAAGATGATTGGGCCAAATTTTTGGAAGAGTGCGCTGGGCCCAATGTACCGGCTTACGTCAAAGTTATCCTCGGTGTTCTTCTCGATACGAAGGAGCAATTAGACTCGATGCGCAAATTGATTGGTAACCTGGTGGATCAAAACAACAAATTCAAGGCAGAAAATGAATCTCTGAGAAAGGCAATTGAGAGTAGGAATGCGGCGGATGGATCAGCGGTCTGTACTGTAGGTTCCAGTTTGCATGCTAATGTGGATACAGTGTATGAAAGTGAAATTGAAAAGAGTAGATCTGTTGTTATCATTGGTTTGTCGGAACTTAATTCTTCTTCGGCGATTGAGCGTGCAAACTATGATTTCCAGAATGTCAATTCTTCGTTGAACCATTTAGATGTCGAATGTGTCCCTACTGCGGTTTACCGCATGGGGAAGGTTAACAGTAGTAGTACTAGACCTCGTCTTATCAAAATTGTCTTTCCTGCGTCCCGTTATCAAAAAATGGCGGTTAGGCGGGCACCGAGGCTGCGCTCTTTCGATCCAAAGGGCGTTTTCCTTCGCCCTTCTTTATCTTTGGAAGAAAGGTTGCAGTATCGTGAGGCACGCTTAGCCAAAAAAAGCTGCTTGTGATGTTGTGAATTCTAATTCAAATTCTCATGTTCTATGTTCCGCTCCATTTAATCGTGTTTCGGATGTTGTGTCTACTCCTGTTAATTCAAGTCATAATCCTGGAGCTAAAGCATTGTCTCTCGATTCAAATGTGGGCCAGGGAAACAATTGAGTTTTCCACGGCCAAATCGTTTGGTCATTAAAGGTCTTTTAACCAATATAAGATCTGCAGTAAAAAATGCTGACGCTTTAGTAGCTTGTATTTGTAAGGAAAACTTCGATCTGCTTATTTTATCTGAGACATGGTTTCATTCAAATACTGATATGGCGCCGTTACTTGGATTAGTGGCAACACAATATCAAATATTCCGTACTGATAGGTTGCGCAAGCGAGGAGGTGGAGTTGCTGTTTTGGTTGAATGTCTTCATTCGGCATGCATCGCTTTCATTGAGTCTGTGCCCGATTCTCATGAAATTTTGATTTGCGATATTTGGTTTTATTCTTTGGAGGTTAGAATAATTGCGGTTTATAGAGCACCCTCGTGCAGTTCTCCAAAAAATGATCAACTTCTCAAAGCATTAAGTGACTTCTGTGCATGTGGTAAGGTCTGTATTGTTGCTGGGGACTTTAACTACCCTAATCTTAGTAATAGTATAATCCCTCATGGGAACACGTGTGCTTCTAAATTTTTCAATTTATGTGTATCCCACCATTTGATTAATACTGTGATGTTTCCCACGCGGTTTGACTCTCGTCTGGACTTACTTTTGTGTAATGACAATACACTCATTCGGAATATCAATTATGGGCCTCCACTTGGTAGCAGCGATCACGCTGTTATCAAATTTTGCCTTGCCTCGCCCACTCTGCACGTCAAGGTTTCGTGGATCAGGGACTTTAAGTCTACGGATTTTCAAGCCATGAGAAATTATCTGCGTCAAATTGACTGGTTGGGATCTTTCAATAATGCTCACTCGGTTAATGACAAATATGAAATGTTTCTAGCAATTTTGAATCATGCCATTGATTTGTTCACACCCTTCAAAGTTAAAAGCGATTGTGTTCATTCAAATCTTCCGAGGCACTTAAGTTCTCTTGAAAAAGTTAGATTTACCGCTTGGCGTCGGGCGGTTTCGTCACAATCCGCATGTGAATGGAATGCCTTTCATGCATTAAATAGAAAGTGGACTCATAAACTTCATAAATATAATTCGTATGTTGAAAGAAAAAGGCTTTCGGAAGGTGGTGCGAAGGCAATATATTCCTTGCTCAGGCTGCGACTCAGAGATAAACCTAAAATTGGGACTCTTTTGGCTGACGACTCGACAAGAGCTGTTACGGATAAAGATAAAGCTGAGTTGTTGGCTTGTTCGTTTGAAAATGTGTTCTCTTCGTCTTTTGGTTCTATGCCTGATATGAGTACGCCTGAAAGTGTTGAACAGGGTTCGGCCCCATGGTTTGACAAGTCAACCATTGCTGACATTCTTTATAAATGGACGTCTACGGCTAGTACGAATTGCGAGGGTATTCCCTTTGTTGTAGTAAAAAACTGTATTGTTGAAATATGTCAACCTTTGGAGTTCCTGTTTAACTTGAGTCTTATGAGAGAGGAAGTCCCCTGTAAATGGAAACATTCCATCGTCTTTGCCCTCCCGAAGAGAGAGCCATTTTCGTGCCCTTACAATTACAGACCGATTAGCTTGACGTCAATTTTTGCTCGGACCTTCGAAAAAGTTATTAAGAAATACTTATTGGAGCACTTGGCTCAGTACAATATCATTCCGCACTCACAACATGGCTTCTGCTCTGGTAGGTCGACTGAAACAGCTTTGCTGTCTTGCATGAACTTATGGACAAGTGCGATTGATTCGAGGAAAAATGTGGATGTTATCTTTTTTGTTTTCAGTAAAGCTTTTGACAAAGTGTCGCATACGATTTTAATTTTTAAATTGAAGCATATAGGTGTGCACCCCTTAGTGGTTAATTGGATTCAGGATTTTCTTGATAATAGAACATTCCAGGTCCTTGTTGGTGACTCCCTTTCCAGTGTTAAAGTTGCCACCAGTGGGGTTCCACAGGGTGGAGTCCTCTCACCGATTCTATTCAACATCTATACTGCCGACCTTCCCCAATGCATTCAAGATCTTGACGTATCTTGCAATATGTTTGCTGATGATATAAAAATATTCAAGGTGGTACATGATTGTAGTTCTGACCCCATTGTTCAACAGGCAATCGATAAAATCGTGACGTGGGCTGTTGCAAATGGTCTCAGCTTGTCGTCCGATAAGACTCAGGTTATGCGGATTGGTTCTCATTCTGTTAGTTCTGTTTACACGGCGGCGGATCACGTGCTAAAAACGGTTTCGGAAGTTCGCGATCTTGGCTTTTACTATGACTATCGGTTAAATTTTAAGAAACACTGCAATATATTGGTTTCAAAAGGCAATCGTCGTTCCTTCAATGTATTCAAGGCCCTTCGTTCCAAGAATCAGGACGTTCTCTTGCGTGCATACAAACTCTATGTGCGTCCCATTTTGGAATATGGAGGATCCTCAGTGTTCAATCCCTACGCTAAAAACGATATTAGGGTGCTTGAAAGCGTGCAAAATAGCTTCACCCGTGAGCTGATGCTCAGGTGTTCGGGCCTTCGCTATGTTGACATACCTCGGAACGCCAACCTTGGTCTTAAAACTCTTGAATGGAGAAGGAAGCGATACGATATGCTAATGACTTATAAGATACTTAAAAACATTGTAAATATTGATGCTTTAGATTTTTTCCATGTGTTGCCGTCTAATACTAGGGATGCCTCAATAAGATTATCTACTTCTACAGCTAGGACCCAACGCAGATCCAAGTTTTTTGCTCACAGAGTTCGCACAAATTTCAATTCTCTCTTGCGCTCTAATTTGTTCCCGTTGAAATATTCCACTTTCAAAAAACATTTAGCAGATTTACTATGATTATATGATTTATCAGATGTTCACCTTTGTGTTCTCTGTTTTGGTTGCTTGGTCTTTTTGTGTTTTCACTATGCTCACATGTGTTTCACATGTCTTTTAATAAATAAAATAAATAATGCTATGACTGATAAATCAATATGATTACTGAATATTTATCCAATACCTTACCTACCCGCTGCCAAAATGGACCTTAACCCGAAAGGGGGATTACTGCCAAAGATGGAGCAGTGCCATTTAACTCGTTGTCAGGATTAATTTTGATAAGCCAGTTGACTTGGACAGCCCCCGAAGTATGCGGGTTCTTTCAAACGTGTTTATCACCGCAGCAAACTATCGGCTTGATCGTTTCTGGCCTCCAGGTAAGCGTCGAAAGGTTAACAGATAAACAGATTGCCAATTCTCTTTGTTTTACAATGATGACGCTTTCGGCCCGAATAACAGAAACCGCCAGAAGAATGGAATCCAATAGCCACTGCTATACGTCTTCACTCATTCAACAACAACAAGATAACGCCTGTCGAGCTGTAATTCGTGGATATAATGTCATTTTTGTCATGTATATATGCCTATTTAAGCCCCCCATAGAACTGAAAAACTTGGTTGCCGGCGAAGTATCGTCGTCTACGGCACCATCTCCTATAACTATATCGTCGTCTACCGTTTGAGACGACTCTCTAACGGAGCCCACGCCCCTTAATGGTGTCAAGCGGACCCAAGATAAGTGGATCCGCACCCCTCATCCTCAAGTCGTCAAAGCAAGACGTGAGTTGCCTGCTTTATAAAGTATTGCTTACCAGTATTGTGTACTGTTATAGCGGGAACGACCACACTTAGTATATTATTTTGTTAGACTTAATCCGTTATCACCGGAGCCCTTATAAACATCCACTTAACCACCAGCACACCATCCGCTCTATAGTCGCGTGCCCCAATTCCGCTCTACTACTTGTAATATGCAATGTCATAGTTAAATAGTAAAGTATATATAGGCATTTGTTACTGTCTCACAGAAGTACTCTCGCCCCGTACAATTATAAGCATAGCCACCTTCTAATTGGCATGGAGATCCCATGTATATTTTTTTTGGATCTCAGGTGAAACACTAGTAAGATCATCACCATCCGTCGTAATACTAATACGAAACGATATCGTATGACGTACACAGTGCGTACTTCGAGATCTATTTCCAAGGATTTCTGAAGGACTGTTCGGCTATGGAAACCTTCTCGATCACTTTTTCGTTGGCGATGAATTACAATGATATGCTGGATAGGTGTAATTTTTTAGAGAAGCAAACTTTTCTGAGGAGAATTTTTTGTTTGTAGCAAAGGGTTAGGATTGCTTCCTGATTTTCTGAGGACGGCACCAAGCAGAGCGCCTTAGTACTGTTTTTTGACGTTCAAAGGTCGTGGTCTTTCAAACTGAGAATCAGACATGAAATGCAAGACCACGGTCAGAGTACAATTCAGCCTCATATCGAGTTCGCCTCATAAATGACCGGTTTCATAGTAAGTAAAGTAAAACAGTTTTATGGAGAGAGTGCTTAAAAAAACGGGACTTCCCTTTGAGTTTCATATGAATGACATTTCGCAATTTACGTTTCCTAGGGAACTCGTGTATGTAATATTTTAGACTTACTTGGCATTGAAAGTAACCCCATGTGTGTATACCGTCTAGGCAGGCCTCTAATAGGCAAGGATAGGTTGTTGAAGGTTGTGCTACCGTCACGAGTTCTTCAACGATTGGCGGTGAAAAGGGCCTCTCCGCTACTTTATTGAGAAGGGAATCTACCTATGAAAGTCCCTTACTCGAGAGCAAAGGAGGCGTAGGCGTGAGGAACGCAGCCGCATGACTAGGCATGAGGAAGGTACACCACCTGCCAATGGTGGTTCAACCGGCACTTCCGAACCTAGTTATGTGGATGGGCGCTCCAATAGCATCGAGGGAAACTGAGAATTTCCTCGGTATTTTGGACCACTCAGATGTTTTTATGCTAATGTGAGATCGGTCTCTAGAAACAAGGAGTTCCTAAAGATTCTGCTGGCGAAAAACTACGACATTTTTGCATTTTCGGAGATATGGTTTAAAAAAATCACACTTAAGCCGGATTACTTGGTACGGTTGTGGATCCCTACGTCGTAGCTAGATGTGACCGTCCCAAAAAACCTGGTGGTGGTGTCATTCTTCTAGCTGAACGTAGGCTTTCGGCACTTGTGGAATCAGTAGAGGAGTCCCAGTACTTGTGGAATCAGTAGAGGAGTCATTCGACATACTTTGCGCAGATGTTTTCTGTGCCGATTCCTGTTTTAGAATGATTGTGGTTTACAGGGCACCCTCGCGCTTGAGAGCAAACTCCGAATCGCTTGTAAAAGCACTTAGTGACCTGATATCATGTGAGAAACATAGTGTCGTACTCGGTGATTTCAATTTGCCGGAACTTTATAACCACTCAGAAGGCTGTCCTCATTCTGTCGCTAAGGTCTATATGAATGAACTAGTTCATTGCCACAATATTACTCAATATGTCAGAAAACCCACCATGGGTAACAACATTCTTGATTTAGTTTTCTCTAATACACCGCATTTGGTAAGAGCTTCCAAAGTTGTCCCACCTGTAGGTTTAGGTGACCACCACAGCATTGTTTTTGAAATCATGAGACAGGTTTCCCCGTCTGCCCACACTTACAAGCGCATGTATTCCAGCTGTAATTTTGACGATTTCTGCCATAGTCTAGCTCAAATACACTGGATTACCCTGCTTGAATCTCAAGGTAGTGTTAATGAGAAGTACGAACTTCTCTTATCTGTCTTGCACAGCGCTATTGACTACTATATTCCCTGGAAGAAGGTCCCTTGCGTGAACTCAATCCACCTACCCAGGCATTTGCAGAATATGTGGGAGCATAGAGAATGCTTATTCAATGAGGCCAATACAAAACCTTTACAAAGCGTTTCCACACCCATCGAAAAAGATACGAAAGATAAGATACAAATCTAAAAAGATACAACGACTACTTAGAAAGGAAAATTATCGAATCAGGTAATGCTAAGGTCTTTCAAAGGTATTTGAGCAGAAGGATCAAAGACTTTAAGAAAATCGGTTGTCTGAGAAGAGAGGAAGTCGTTGCATTCTCTCCACTAGATAAAGCCAATATGTTGGCTGACCACTCCCTGACTGGTTTTCGCCGTCTGTCGAACCAATGAAGGAGGTTCCGAAGTTCATCGCCTCTGAGCTATGTGAGCTGATCATGAAATGGCCTGTTTCTTCCTCGGTTACCCCTGATTCTGTGCAATTCCTTGTTGTGCAACGAATAGCCGCTGCTATTTGTGGTCGTCTTGCCTACATCTATAATCAGTCGTTATGCTTCGGTGAGGTACCCGTGCGCTGGAAACATTCCATTGTTACTCCGCTACTGAAGGAAGAGCCATCTTGGAACCCTGAGAATTATCGCCCCGTAAGCGTTACGTCTCGTTTCTGTCGGCTATTTGAGAAAGTCCTGAAAATAGCATGTCAGTCGTCACTTGTCTATTAACCATATTGTTTCGAGACACCAGCATGGTTTCAGTCCTGGTCTTTCTGTTAAAACAAATATGATTGAGTGCCTGGATGATTGGACAAAAGCTCTTGATGAGAAGCTTTTCTGTGAAGTCATTTACTGTGACTTTACCAAAGCTTTCGATAGGGTTTCGCACAAGAAACTGACCGTAAAGCTGAGGGCTTTGAAATTTCACTCGATCATCATGAATTGGACGTCAGAGTACCTGAGTAACAGAACGTTTCAAGTTAAGATGGTCAGTCCTTTTCGGAAATCCGGCGGGTAATAAGTGGTGTGCCCCAAGGAGGCGTGCTGTCACCGGTGCTTTTCAATGTTTTCGCGGCTGAGCTTCCCGATATGCTTCGTGAAGTGGGCCTCACTCCGAACGTGTATGCTGACGGCATAAAAATCTATAAGACGGTAGAAACAGACTAAAGAACCACAAAGAGCAATTGATCTAAAGGTGAGATGGTCGAAGGATTGGCAACTGCCTCTAGCGCCACAAAAGACAGTGTCTATGCAGCTACGTTCTTGCACTTCACCAACGCGCACGTACACTGTTGATGGTGTCCCTCTCTCAACTGTGCAATCCGTCAGGAACCTCGGCTTTTACTACAACGATAGAATGGATTTCACGGAGCACATCACAACGAGGATCAGAGCAGCCAAACTTCGGACATTCCAAATTTCTAAAGGGGCTGTCTTTAGCTAATAAAGGAGCCCTGTTGCGTGCTTACAAATCGTATGTGCAACCCCTGGTCGAATCCAGCACTTCGGTTTTCAACAGCAAGAAAGAGGCATGTCTACGCGCTTGAAAAGGTTTAGAATAACTTTACTCGTAAGCTGCTCATTCGAATTGGTGGAATTCTGTACTCCAGAATACCAAAGGCAGCTATCAGAAATCAGTATCTTGGGCTGACATCTTTAGAAACGCGACGCAGGGTTTTCGATTTTTGTGTGGTGCACAAACTTGTACACGGCACGTGTGGTCACGGTTCCAATAGCTTCAAGCTGACACATTCGAGGACTAGGGGTGGCTGCATGGAGATTTCTTGGACACGTCCTAAAACTAACTTGCGAGCGAGTAGCTTTACCTTCAAGGCTGGCAGTGATTATCTAAGAGTGTTGAAAAATATACCCGTCTCTTCATCGCTAGCACAGTTCAAACGCAAAGTAGTTAAGTTGCTGCTGAAGGGAACTGGTCCTAATGCTTCTTGAGAGTGATTAACTAACTAATGTATCTTTGTATTGTGCATCGGCTGTTTGTACAAACGTTCAATATTTACGTTGTGCTATGTTTTCTTTCTCACGTTTGCCTTCCGCAGGCGTAATAAACCTATAATTTATAACTTATGGAAGTAAGAAAATGACTGCCAGTTACTGTTCATGCAATGACCACAGCCCTATAACCTACCTTCTCTTGTAGTAACCAGTTCAGAGGGTCGGAAAATTTACATATTGCAGCCAAGATTAATCAATCAAAGAAGACTCTGTTAGGCATGAAGTTGGTTAGAGCGGTTCAGTGGATGGTACGATTGGAATGAAGAACAGGATGGTGAAGTGCACATGGAGTAGATGAGGAAGGATCACAACGGACGGACAGCCTGTTAACAGAAAACCATTTGTTTTTTGGCTTCTTCCTGCTAAGGCCTAGGGACTCACCGCATGCTGCAGGCCAATCACGGCCGGTGTTACACTATAGCCATTACGGAAGAAATCGCATGATCGCCTTAGTCAGAAAGTGTGGTACTCTTAGAATGATAAAATGATAGAGAGAATGGCACAAGTCTGCGATACCTGCGCCACGTTCGGGTATGAGAAGAGCAGAACACTGCTGCATTCATGGAAAACACCAGCAAAGGTATGATAGGGGTTACACATGGACTTAACATCGACCACCGATGATATGAGATGGCTAGCGATATTGTTAAAGAGTAGTAGTGGTGTCTAACTCATAATATCATATATCATAATATCGTACCTTGTCTTTCATATTATCCTCATAGAAAATTCACACCGTCAAA